GTAAGTGTGAGCACACAGAACATACATACATACATACGTAAAGTTTCAAAAAAGTTTCTCTTAAAACTTGCCTGGCATTTGACTCATATGATATATTTGCAAGAATAACCATGAAGACCAGGAGCAGGGGTTCACTCTAATCCACATATTCGAGGAACAGAGGCAGGGTGGCTATGCCAGTTTGGGCTACATAGTAATTCTCAGGCCAGGCCAGAGCTACACACACAAAATAAATAAATGTAAAACAACTACAACAACAGAAACCAGTTCCTTTTCAAGTCTGTTACATCAAATTTTGTTGTAATGGTTTCTGCTCACTCAATAAATTTCAACCTGACATACAAAATGAATTCACAAAATAGAACAGAAATTTCAGGAAATAGACCCAAGTAAATCAGGAATTTGATCTAGAAGAGCTACATCTAAAATGGTCATTTTTTAAAAACAGATGTCTCAGAGGTTAAGAACCCTGGCTGCTCTTCCAGAGGTCTGGAGGTCAAATCCCAGCAACCACATGGTGGCTCACAACCGTCTATAGTGAGATCTGGTGCCCTCTGCTGGTGGAAGGCATACATGCAGGCAAAATGTTGTCTAAATAATCTTTAAAAACACAAAACTGGCTTCGAAGCGGAGTGTGGTGGCCCAAATACAGGGAGGCAGATCTCAGTCAGTTTAAGGTCAGCCTGTTTTACAAAGCCAGTTCAGGACAGCTAAGGCTACAAAGAGAAACCCTATCACGGTGGGGAAACAATGAAATGGCTTTTCCCTGAGTGCTACTGTAAATACACTCACACACACCCAGGAACAAGTGTTCGGCCAATTGAAAAGCACACATACTGGATTTCTAGTGCACGTGAATCCAAACAAGCTTAGGCAGGCCAGAGTTTTAGCGTGAACACTGACCCTGCAATGCCAGGAGAAAATGCGAGAGACCTTTAAGTGCTGAAATGCTTTCAACCCCATTAAAATCCACACAAACAAAAGACTTATAATTTAGCTATTAAAACAAAGGGGAAATGTTTACATCCACAACAAGAGAGGAGGAGGATACTAAGAGCTGAAAGAGCGATGCTGAGGGGTGTGTGTGTGTGTGTGTGTGTGTGTGTGTGTAAGCCTTGACTTAGCTGAGCCAGCCCTGAAGTCTGCTTCCCTGGCTGCCGGGGCAGTGTTGCTGTGGAGATTGTGGAGGAACCCTGGGGGCGGCTAAGGTCAGAGCAGGCTGGGCAGTGATGGGCGGGGGACATTTCTGGTTAGGGGCCTTTTCCATTCAAAGCTTTGGGGAGGAGCTGGAGATGCGGCTCAGCTGGAAGACAGAGCGCATGCCTAGCATTCCCGAAGCCGTGATTCCCATCGCTAGTGTAAACTAGGCGTGATGGCAACACCTGTAAAACCCGGAACTTGGGAGGTGGGGGCAGGAGGATCAGAAGTTCAGGTTCAAACTTAAGCTGTTGAAGGCCCTATGGTTGCGGTTCCGTCTACTTGGAAGGCTAAAGCAGCAGGACAACTTGAGCCAGAGGGTTAAGGGCTGGGCCGAGCGGGTAAACCAAATCTCACCCACCCAAAAACATTTTCAGAGAGAAGACCTCCTCTCTGGAAGATCCCTTCTTGAGGCCTGCTGCCTGGCCACTGGTAAGGCTATTTTCTTTTTTGTTTGTTCGTTCGTTTGTGTTTTGTTTTTCCCTAGGATTAGCTTTACCAGGAGAGCTCAGGGCAACACAGGATGTTAACAGCTAACGCCTCCTCCACGCAGTCTCCCTAGCTACTTGCTGGGGTCTGCAGCACCACCTCTCACCACTCCAAGGTCATACTTTGGGTGGAAGCACGTTAGCCGACAACCCCAGGAATAACGCGCTGGAGCCCGGAGAAGTGGCTTGGCAGTGAAGAGCACTTGCTGCCCTTGCAGAAGACCCGGATTTAGTTCCCGTCGTCCTCCACATCGCAGTCTACATCCCCACGAGGCCTAAGACTGTCCATTCCCGGGGATTTGGCGCCATCTTCTGGCCTCGGAGGGCGCCGGGTACACATGACCTGGGCTTACGTTCCTGCTGGCAAAACATTCGTACCCTTAACAAACAAACAAGCAAGCAAAACGTCTGCCTGCCAGTTATTTGCACGCCGTGAAAATAAGGCTGGCCCAGGGCAGGAGGTAAAGTGTCACCGAGGGCCGCCACGTGCGGGGCCAGTCGGGCTGGAAACATGATTTAAGGATGTTGAAACCTCCCTGTTTGTGAGTTCATGGCCGCACGTGTTCCGTCACGGCGACGTGCGCGACGGCTTCGCGGAGAGCAAGGCCTAGAGCGCGGAGGCTGGGACGGGGCCTCACAGGGTCCGCCGGTGGCGCGGGCCCCGCTTTCATTATTCAGCGTCTCTCCCTGGAGACAGGGGAATAATGTCGCGCAGGCTGCCTCACCTCCCCATCGCGGAGCTTTGCGCCTCCAGGCGCAGCCGTCCCAGCCCGGAAGGCCGCGCCGAGTTTGAGGAAAGAGTGAAGAGCGCGCCGAAGCCGGCCTCGCCGTCTGCCCACGGGGAGAGCTCCCCACCCTCCTCGCCCGGGCTGCTTCTGGCCTGGTTGGAGGGCGGCGGTGCCCCCACCGGCCCTGTATGTAGATGTATGTAGATGTATGCAGACGGCGGTGCTGCCCCACAGACGGTGACCAGCACGCTTGCTGGGAGCCCCTCCACATCACGCCCTTCCCAGCCTGCCGCCCCTCGCTCCCAAGTCCTGCTTTGTCGAAGTCGGTGTGGACCGGCCGGGTACCCCCCCCCCCCCCACACACACACACAGTCCCTTCTTGGGCTTCCGGGAAGCGCTGGGTAAAAGGAAAAGGGGGGGGGGGTGTGAAAGAATAAAGCCCTAGCATAATGCTGGCAACACTATTTTGCAAGACTGGAGCAGTGCAGGGTCAGAGGCAAGGCGGGACAGATGCCCAACAGCAGGATATCTGCGGTTGGGCGCCTGAAACACTCTGGGCACCCAAGATAAGAACCCGGTACGTGACTCAGCTCACATCTGCCTTCCCGCCTTCCCTGTTCCGGGTACGTGACCTAACTATGGCTTTGTTCAAACCGCCCAATCAGATCCCTGTAACTATGCTTCTCGCTTCTGTAATCGCGCTTCTTGCTCCCGAGCCCTATAAAAACCCGTCACCCCAACCGAGAGGCGCGCAAGTCTTCCGAAAGGCTTTGTCGCCCCGGGTACCTGTGTATCGAAATAAACCTCTTGCGGCTTGCATCTGAAGGCTGGTCTCGCTGTTCCTTGGGAAGCGGGGTCTCCCCGAGCGGGAGTCTTTCAGGGGGTGCCCGCACCAGGTGTCCCCTTTCCTGCTTCCCTCGGCGCCTCCTCTAGACTGGCGCTCTTTTCACTGTTAGTTCTGTGCGGAAATTCACCTCTAAGTAAAAAGTGAAGGGTGTGAGGGACAAAAGGCTCACACATTTACCCTGGTTCCCAAAGGACGCTTGTGTTTGCAAAAAAGACAGAGAGCTGGTGGTGGTGCTGGCGCTGGTGGTGCAGGAGGATCTCTGTGAGTTCGAGGCCAACCTGATCTATAGAGAGAGTTTCAAGACATCGAGGGCTACACAGAAAAACCCTGTCTCATAAAACAAAATCACTGGGTCTTGTGGGCTGGAGAGAAGGCTAGCAGGGTTAAGTGTGCTTCTTGCTCTTCCGGAGGAAGACGTGGGTAACTCCAGCTCTAGAGGATTCCACATGCCACACACACACACACACACACACACACACACACACACACACACACACTGAGCCTACTTTCCTTATTGGAGTCACCACCTAACTGGTTTCTGTAGCTGGTAGGACGGGTCTTTTTTTATTTTTGTAGCTTCCTCCTTTCCTTTCTTGCCTCTCACTATCATCACCAAAAGCCATCAGCCGGCTGCTGAGGGTCTGGTTCAGGCTGCCTGGAATGAACAAGGTCCCGGTTTTGATGTCCAGCACTACGAAATAAAAAAAGGACTGGCGAGATGGCTCAGCAGGTAAAAAGGCTCTCCATTGTGCCTGACAGCCTGAGCTCCATCCTGGACCCACTCCGTGTGGAAGAAAAGAACTGACCACCCACCCACCCCCCTCACACTCACCCCCCTCCCCCGTGAGGTCCTCTACTCCCACAAGCACTCTGTGGCAGGAGCGCACAAACAATAAATAAATGAATAAATAAATAAAACAAAGTTTTGGTTTTTGTTTGGTTGGTTGGTTTTTGGTTTTTCGAGACAGGTTTCTCTGTGTGTAGGGAGCTGTCCTGGAACTCAACTCTGTAGACCAGGCTGGCCTTGAACTCACAAAGATCCGAATGCTTCTGCTTCCATATACTTGACTCACAGACACCGGGAAATCTCCCCAATATCCAGGTGGCATCAGTTCATTCCATTGTATCTCTCCTTTGCCACCACCTGCCCCAAGCTTACCATAAGATGAAGTCTAGGTGATTCGGAGGCTGCCAGACTTCTCACTGACTGGCCCCATACAGTCAGTTGTCCATCCTGTACTTTCCTGCGGCTAACATCCATAAACTCCTTTGTTCTTTTCCCATTGGTCTCTGATGGACCTCCACAAATGCAAGCACAACTATTTATTTTGCATAGCTGGCTGTCTGACACTTAGGAAGTAGTTCTAAACATTTCTTTTTTGAGGCAGGGTTTTATTGTGTAGCGTTAGCTGGTCTGGAACTCTGTATGTGGACCTATGTAGACCAGGCTGGCCTTAAATACACAGAGATCCAACTGCCTCCGATTCCCAAGTGCTGAGATTAAAGGTGAAATCAGCAAACCCATCTTCAAATATTTTTAAGCAAATAAAAAATGAATGAAGTTCAGCCAAGTGAAAAAGAATGGTCTGAAGAATTATTTCCCAACCCATTTATTTATAATTTAAAACTAAGCATCCCTTTGATAAACTTTCTTTACCCTCTTCAACCCCCTCCTTCCCAGAGCATACATGCAAGAGCTCAGGGTGCCAGGGAGAACCACATCCATCCCTATGGGGCTTCTCATGGGTAGCTCTTGGGAGTTTCTGGGCTTTCCTTAATCCTCTTTTTCTTCAGTTTTGGTGTTTGAGGAAATTTCCTCAAAGAATCTGAAAGAACAGAAGTTAGAGAGGGTCCCAATGACACCACAACTATTAAAAACCCTCAGTAACATGAATAGAGTAATACAATCTGTCCCTCACTCTTACTTTTCTCGGAAACCTGTGAGGTAGAGAGATAACATCGCCCCCAGTCCACAGCGAGGATGCTTGGCCAAGCAGAGAGCAAGCATGTGACATGTCTGAAGCTTTATAGTAAGCCAGAGTCACAGCCAGGACCAAGCCCACGTCTGCTTGAATTCCCTACAACCCTCTCCATTCTCACAACTAACTCCAAGTGCTTTGAAACACAAGTCCATTGACAAACAACACTGCCAAGTTTTAATCAATAAATAATTTATGAACACGGTGCCAAAGAAACACCGTGTCAGTCACTGCAGGGGTAGACTCTGTACCGGGAGACCACGAACGATGGGCCCACCAGCGTTATGTGCTTTCCTCATGCAGCAATGGGTAGGGGTCCCACATCTCTAACCTCTAACATATTCACCAGCCGAGAGAGACAGAGAGAGAGAGAGAGTATGTATGTGTTACTGAGGATTGAATCCATATCCTCACTTATGTTACAAGCATTCTACCACTGAGAGACAGACAGAGAGAGAAAAAGTCTGTTTATAGATAAGGAAATAAGTTTTTAAAAATGCCAAAAGGGGGCTGGAGAGGCGGCTCAGTGGTAACAGCACTGGCAGCTTTTCCAGAGGACCTGCGCTCAATTCCCAGCACCCACACGGCAGCTCACAACTGTCTGTAACCCCAGCTCCAGCAGATCTGACACCCTCACACAGACATACATGCTGTATATGCATGTATATATGCAAAACACCAATGCACATAAAATAAAAACATTCTTTTTAAAAAAAAGCTAAAAATGGGAAATCCTGTCGACAGCTTGGTCTCTGCCAACGGATCAGATAAAAAGGCAGCAAGTTTGTCAGGCTGAGATGGAACCAGCTAGAACACTGGCTGTGAGCAGCCAGTGCAGCAGTCTCCTCTGAAACTTGAATATGGGCTACCCAGTTCCACAGAGTGAAAATGATGGCCTGGAAAGGCTGATGCCATTCATAAGGAGGGGAGGGGAGAGCAAGTTTAGAGGGCTGGAGTACAGTTCAGTGCTTAAAAGTGCTGGCTGCTCTTCCAGATGACCTGGGTGTGTTTCTCAGCACCCACTTTGGTGGCTCAAAAACTGCCTGTAACTATACAGGGGATCTGATGCCCTCTTTTGACTTCCACAGGTCATATGTGGTGCATACAAACTCATGCAGGTACTCATACATAAACATGAACAAATAGCAAAGAAATAAAAAGCAGGTTCAGGGATGGGCGATGGCTCAGTTGGTAAAGCACTTGCCAGGCAAGAATAAGGCCTTAATTTGGGTCCCCGGCAGCCACATAAAGTTGGTTGAGACACCCGAATCTGTGGTTCCATCATGGGGAGGTGGAAAACTGGATCCCTGGAGCTTACTCAATCACGTTAGCCAGCCAGTGAGCTGCAGAGTCCGAGAGAGACCCTTATCTCCAAAAAATAAGGTTGGAAAAATAACTGAGGAACTATGTCTACCAATGGCTCCCCCCCCCCCCGTGTGATAGCAGCACCCCTTCTCAAACATGAGGCAAGTTAAAATCAAATCACATAGACAGCACAGTCTCAGCTTTGTTCAAATAGATGTGATTTTATATGCACAAACTGTTAATAGTGCAATGGTGGACGATGACAATCTGATGTTTATATCTCCCTGTTTTTATTTTTCTGTTTTTAATTTTTTTGCATTTAACTCAAATTCTGTTTTGATAAAGTATACAAATATAAAAGTTGCCACCTGAGCTGTTTTTAAGTTTGGTGCCACAAGATACCAAAGGCAAAACTTCCACCAAGAAAGGCTGCATCTGATATTTTGCCTGCTTGAAATCTCTATGCAAAGCACTGCAAAGCGTGGATGCCTGGCTGACATGAAGAGAAAAGGCACTAACTCAATATTTTAGCCATCCATCCTGCCACACAAACTTTCTAACCGTCATTCCCAGTGAAGACTGACTTGTCTATATTGGACTTTGGCACAAGTGTTGTATGTAAGAATATCCATGCTTGCTGGGCAAAGGTGGTGCATGCCTTTAATGCCAGCACTCAGGAGGCAGAGGCAGGCAGATCTCTGTGCGCTCGAGGACAGCCTGGTCTACAGAGTGAGTCCCAGGACAGCCAGGACTACACAGAAAAGCCCTGTCTCAAAACAAAAACAAAAACAAAAATATCTGCCCTGAGCCTTAGCAACCCTTAAAGACCTCAGTGCTTTGTTCTAGTACCAGACCCCATGCCAAGAATGCATGAAGCTTGGGTTGGATCCCCAGTGCCACATAAATCAGGTGGCCTGTAATCCTAACACTTGGAAGGTGGGAACAGTAGGCTCAGAGTTCAAGGTCATCCTTAACTATATAGTGAGTTTGAAGCCAGCCTGGGCTACATGAAACCCTGCCTCAAAAATAAATAAATAAACAAACAAATAAATAAATAAAAATAACGTTTTAAAAATCACTTTAAGTTCTTAAAATTACACTTGTTTATAGGGAGGGCACACGGCCCATGGTACGCATGTGTGGGCGTCATAGGATTTTGTGGGAATCAGCTCTCTCCTCCTGTGGATCCCAGGGACCAGATTCAGTCCATCAGGCCTACTTACAACATCTTCCCCCGCTGAGCCATGGTGTCAGTCCCCATTTGTTTTCTAACAAGGTCTCATACACTGTGGCCCAGGCTGGTCCGGAAACTATATGGTTCAAAATCACAGCAGTTCTCCTGACTCAGTCTCCAAAGTGCTGGGGTTACAGGCGCAAGCCACCATGAGTGACATTACTTATTTTAACACTTGCTTGAAGACGCCGGGGATGTGGCTCAAGGATGTGGAACTTATTTAGCACATCTGACACCCTCGCTTCGCTCTCCAGCTTCTCAGCCCACCAGCCAAGGCTGTCCCCTGGTATCCCTGCCTTACACCTCACTCCACTCTGCACTCGCTTCACTCACTGCCAGGCCTAGCCCGTTTGCTCATTCTCCACATACTTCCCACGCTCCTTTGCCTTCTTCAGCCGCCTCATTTCTTTCTTTAAAGCCTGACCCAGCCCCACCTCCTGCACACAGCTTATCTGATCGACATGGCCTTTGCTGCCTTTGAAGAGCTCCTCTCCAAAGGGAGACAATTACACCCAGCTCTCTCATCAGGATGCTGCAGATGTCAACAGCAAAACACAAAGCACCTGGCCCAGATACAGGCTTCCAGAGCACAGAACTCACGCTCTCCCCCAGGGCTTGGCTATGAGCTCCTTAGCAATGGCCTGGCCTATACTCTTTGAAGCCCCATTGCCTGCTTCATTTCCTCAGTTTAAGCTGCAGGCACCAAGGCCAGACACGGGCCCTCGGAGACAGTGTCTGTGCCTCACTAGCTATCTGACCCAGGCTTACGGCCTCTGCTCTGTTTTCACAGCTGCTCCTGTGTCCGGTGTGATTGGGAAAGAGATGCCCGAGGCCAACTTGCATGAGCGCCAACAGTCATTCACACCTTCAGAAGAGAGCCTCTGAGTCCACATTAGGACTACATTCTGTGTTCTCCGGGCTACCACGCTTGCCTTTGCCTTCCCCAACAGTAGCCGAGAAAGGACAGCTAACTGTGGCCCAGAGCCAGGTCTGGAAGTGTGGAGGTAGAGGCATGCCGCGTCTCTCTGTGCCTTGTGTCCAGCAGGAGCCCTCCCAGGTCCCTACCTTTAGCCTCCTCTGGTTGAAAAGCCTCCCCCACCTAACTCCACAGCCCTTCTACAGAGAATCGAATGTTTTGGTCAGCACAGAGGCCAAAGAGGCTTGGAAAGTCATCCCATGCCATCGATCTCCCTGGAAGGATGAGCCCTTCCATTTTCTCTTTGTCCCACCCCATCAGAGTGGTCATCCTGCCACCGATACCCAGACACTTCATGGGAGTCCATACTCTCAGCACTCAGAAACCGTCTTCACCCTGTTTCTAGCCATATCAGAAAGGGCCTTTACAAAAAAGTTAACTAAAAAAAAAAAAAAAAAAAAATACAAGATTCAAAACGTACACACTATGAGACCTCTGCTGGGAGATGACAGACGCTGAAGGAACTGCACTAAATGCCAACAATGCTGGCCTCTGGGTACTGGTATTTTGTTTGTTTGTTTGTTTGTTTGTTTGTTTGTTTGTCCCCACACTTAGCTACAGAGTTAAAAGATTCTATAAATGAATATATCTGGGAGAAGCTGAAAATAGAAAAGAGACCAAGGAAAAGAAAGGAAAGGCCAGAAGGAAGAGATGGTAGAAAGGGAGGGAGGGAGGGCGGCTGTACCTGCCCCAGAAAAACCCGAAAACTTGTCCACAGCCCCTCACCCAGGTAGTGGGCCTCACCTCCTCTGGAGTGGTGCAAGGACCGGGGTTCCTCCAGCAGGATGACTGCTTCGCCGGGGGCCTGCATCTTGGACAGCCTCTCCTTCATGCCGCTGATATTTCCATGCAACCCCCAGGCACTGCAGAGCCGGGGAAGACTGTCCTCCTGGCTGGACAGCAACGATCTCTCTGGCGCATCCAACGGGCAGAGTGTGACCTGAAATTGGGTCCGTGGTTGAGGAGATACAGGAGAAGAGATGGGCCTAAATTCTAGGTGGCAGCCTCACCCAGCCCTACCCCCCAGCTGCTAAGAAGCTATGGCATCTCCCATTGGCCTAGCCAAAAGGATGGGGTGAAAGTCACAGAAAAACTGAGGGTGTGGGTGAGTCAGGCTGCCACCTGTGTGTTCTAGGTAAGTTTCTCCACGCTAAGGAAATAGTTCAGGTGTCAGAGGCGTGCACTGCTGCAGACAGGAACCAGGGCTTCATGCAAGCAAGTGTCCTGCTGCCCTCACGCTCCAGCAAGGTCTCCTTTCATTTTAAGGTTATACCTTCCGTTTCTTTTGAGAGTGATGGTGTCTTATTTGCTTGATTGTAATGAGACAGTGGTGCTTGTCTTTTTTTTTTTTTTTTTTCATACTAACTTAAAAAAATAAACTGATAACCTGAAGGCATATTTTGAAGTATTTTCTGGTCAGTAAATACAAGAAATCCAGGAGTCACTAGAATGGCAACTTGTGTGTGTGTGTGTGTGTGTGTGTGTGTGTGTGTGTGTGTGTGTGTGGTGATAGTGGTAGTGGTTTTTGAGACAGGGTTTCTCTGTGTAGCCCTGGCTGCCCCGGAACTCACTCTGTAGACCAAGCTGGCCTCGAACTCAAAGACTCACCTGTCTCTGCCTCCCAAGTGCTGGGATCAAAGGCATGTGCCACCACTGCCCGGCAAATGGCAACTTCTTATACTTAGAAAAGGACCTACTTGAGCCAGACACTAAGTCAAACGCCTGTAGTTGCAGCTTACTGAGACGGGAGGATCACTCAAGCCCAGGAGTGACAGTCAACCTGGGTAACACAGCAGGATCCCTGCCCCTTCCCTTAAAGAAAAGATGGTGCTATGCAGGTAAATCTGTAATAGGGCGCTTGCCTAGTTATGTGAGGCCCTGAGTTCAATTCCAGTACGGTAAAGATCAAAATAAATAAGAGGAAAGAAAAAAAAAAAAAAAGGATTAACAAAATGATCCAAGTGTTCATGTTCAAGAGCAGCAGCAGAGATGCAGGGGGCGGGGGCTGACAAAGCAGGTTAGGGCAGGCACTCATACAGGCAGACTGCTCCTGGCAGTCTTCCCACTTGTGTGTCCCTGGCACAACCGTCTCATCTCCCTGTATTTGGATGTTTCCTTAAAAATCATGGGTTATAACTCTTTTTTTTTTGGGGGGGGGGGGTTATAACTCTAATTGCTAGTTACAGTTATTTGTGAAGCTCACAGGAAGGAACAGAAAGTCCTTGACACAAAGGCGACTTTCACTGCTATTACTTAGGATTATTATTATTTGTGTGGGTGGGTTTTGTTGTTGTTTGTTTGTTTGTTTGTTTGTTTAGGGATTCTTCATGTAGCTCTGGCTGTCCTGAAACTCACTTTGTAGACCAGGCTGGCCTCGAACTCACAGAGATCCACCTGCCTTTGTCTCCCCAAGTGCTGGGATTAAAGGCGTGCACCACCATGCCCGGCAGGATTCTTGTTTTGAACCTGAGACTCTCAAAATATCCTCTGAATTCTCAGAAAGGTAAGATCTGATCAACATGCAAAAAAAAAAATAGGCCAATGGATTCTACTGAAGCAGAGCATGACCAGCTCATCAGCAGATCTCTGAAAAAGTGCGTATCGTATGGCTGCAGACACAGGACGATCCGGGAAGGGAAAGCTGTGAGTTCAGTGAAAGGAACAGCTTCCTGAGGGCTCCCAGGAAGGAAGGAGAGAGGGGATGAGTGGCTCACAGATGACGGGGGTACCTATTCTGAAGGACACGGTAGCGGTAGGGACATTTACCACACATTTATCAAAACCCCTAACACTAGTGGATGTGGTGGTGTATGCCTATAACCCTACCACTCGGGAGGTTGAGGCAAGGGGTTGTAAGTTTAAGGGCAACCTGGACTTAACAGCAAGACCCTGTTTAAAAGACAAAAGAGGGGAAGAGCTCACAAGGCCCTATACCCGTGAGGATCTATAAACTGTCAATGGTTGCCAGAAAGGGAGGGACATTTTTCTCCAGTGGTGTGTCACTGCTAAGTTGCCCATGTTCGGCTGGGTGGAGTGGCAAATGTCTGTAATCCCAGCACTCTGAGAAGCAGAGGCAGGTGGATCTCTGTGAGTTCAAGGCCAGCCTGGTCTACAAAGTGCAGCCAGGGCTACGCAGAGAAACCCTGTCTTGCAAAACCAAACCATAAGAAAACAAAATGAGAAGTTGCCCATGCTCTGCAGATCAGCCTCACCCATGTTGCCATAAGCAACCCTGACTAAATTTGCTGGGCCACACACACAAAGATGAGAGCAGAAAGGAGTTAACTGGGAAAAGTTCAGTATGCGCGCGCGTGCGTGCGTGTGTGTGTGTGTGTGTGTGTGTGTGTGTGTAAAAGGCAGTGTGAAGAGTGAATATGATCAAAGCAACAAAGCCCCTTTGTGTAATTAATGTTGATTTTAAAGGTTTTAGAAATCAAATAGAAACTATCAGATGTATACAACAGAAAACCTAAATCCTAATGTAAACGATGGGCCTTCTCTGGTAAGACTCTGTTGATGTTGTTTTACCAGTCTTGACAAATGTGCCTAAAGAAAGTCTCTATGGCTTGGGAAGCATGGAAGTGTGGGTGGGGAGAGCCAGACCCGAGCTTCCCACTCACTGTCCTTTAAAGCGGTTTTAAGTCCATTATTGCTATTTTTATCATTGTTATTATTATTATTATTCTATTGCTTTTTGAGACATGGTATATGTAGTGTTGGCTAGCCTGGACCTCATTATGTAGCCCAGGGTATCCTCAAACTCACAGATCACAGAGATATGCTGGTTTCTGCTTCTCAGAGCTGGGATTAAAGACATGGGCTAAGTATTAATTTTATTTTTTTAATTGTAAAAAATGTTTATTTATTATTTACACAGTATTCTGCCTGCATGTGTGCCTGCACACCAGAAGAGGGCACTAAGTCACATTATAGATGGTTGTGAGCCACCATGTAGTTGCTGGGAATTGCACTGAGGACCTTTAGAAGAACAGCCAGAGCTCTTAACCTCTGAGCCATATCTCCGTCCCCTAATTTTATTTTGTAGCTGATCACAGCAGCACGGTCCCTGAATCCTAGCACTCAGGAGTTAGGCAGCCTGTGGATCTGATACCAGCCTATGATAGAGTAAGTTCCAGTGAGACTTTGTCCTAAAAACAAGTAAATAAAGCCATTGATTTTGTTTTTGAGACAGGGTTTCTCTAGGTAGCCTTGTCTGTTCTGGAACTTGCTCTGTAGACCAGGCTGGCAAGCCCATCAATTTTTTAGTTTATAAATATGGTTCAAGATACACCGCACAATTTTTAAAAACTACTAGTTGTATTTTTTTTGGTATGACAGCAAAGAAAAATATCTGCTATTTTCTAAATACATATTTGTATGAGGCTGGGACTTGCGTGTGTTTCAACCAAGACAATAAATATATCATAACACACCGACCACAGAAGCAGACCTGAGATGGCAGCTGCTTCCCTTGAGTCAGGTACTAAAAAGAGCTGCAAAACAGAAAACACTACTGCTCTTCTGAATTTGTTGTCGTTGTTTCAGAAAGCAGTTACTTTTTTTCACAGGATATTTATGTTTAAAATAGCTCCTATTTAGTGGGGTGCAGTGGTACACGCCTGAGATCCCAGCACTCGGGGAGGCAGAGGCAGGGGGATCGCTGTGAATTTGAGGCCAGCCTGATCTACAAAGCAAGTCCAGGACAGCCAAGGCTACACAGAGAAACCTCAAAAAACAAAAACAAAAAATACTATTTTTAAATACTTTAGTAAATATAGTTAAAATTTCCTTACCTATAATCTCTAGTAGAGTAAATATTAATAGCTATAAGCATGTCTTTTAGAGTTCTCACTTATTTTAAGAAGTAAACATGTCCAGAGATCAGGGTATCTGAACCACTGTGTGAGGACAGAGCTAGGTCAAGTTCTGCTTTCAGGCCCTGGAGATGTCCCCAAGCTGGCCTCAGCTGTTCTCACCCATGGCTCAGGATGTCCCTGTCCATGTTAAAACCATGGTGTGGATATGGAAGAGGAATAAATGTCATGAACTTGGTGGCCCTAGTCAGCTCCCTCGGGGCCCAGGGTAGGGGAAGATAATGAGAGGTGGTACTTCCTCAGCAGTGAGCCCTGGAAGGGGGGGGTTGGGAGTGGGGGTGTCAGAGGCCAGTCACAGTCCCAGCCTTCCCCTCATGATCTAAGAACTCCTGCTGGACCTCAGAGGAGCTTTCTGAGAAGCCTCACCAGGAACTTGGCCGTCTGGTTGGTTTTGGTGTACTTGTAGAGCCGGCGAAGCTGCTTGGCTTCCAGTTCTGAGAAGAGGGACACAAATCGCCAGAGCATCCTGCAGAGAGAAACCAGACAGAGAGGCTGACTGAGCCTTTTCTACCCCCTCCATCCTGTGACCAGGAGCTACCCAGCAGAAGGTACACCGTGCTTCCTCAGTGTCAGGGTGAGGAGATGGAGGTGGGGACCAGGACAGAAATGTCACGTGCTGGTATCAAGCACCAGTACACAGCAGCTGTCCACCTAGAGGCCAGAGAGTTCTTCTCAGGAGAGAGAGGCTTAAAGACGTGAGTGCGCACGTGTGTGTGTGTGTGTGTGTGTGTGTGTGTGTGTGTGTGTGTCTGTCTCTGTGTGTCTGTGTTTTTGTGTGTCTGTGTGTAACTGTCTGTGTGAGTGCTTGCCACAGTGCCCGTGAGGAGGTCAGAGGACAACTAACAGCATTGGATTTCTCCTTCCACTGTATGGGTGGGAGGGACAGAACTCAGGTGGCTGGGCTTGGTAACATGCGTTACCTGCAGAGGCCTCTGGAGGCCCTTGGGAAAGACTTTGTCTGCTAGGTGCACAGCCAAGGTGCGGTCAGTGTGGCCCTGATGACGAGAGGGCCCTGTTCCTTACACACCCGCTGTCTCCCAGGGTCTTGGCCCTCTGCGGGGCTGGAGGGCCCTGGCTGGAGCGTAATCTTGAATGGAGGTGGGCTAGGACAGGAGGCTGCCTACTTCTTCCAGTGCTTCATCTCCCAGGCTTGGCAGTAGTGCTGCAGAAAGGTGTTGATGTGGTCCCCGAGGGCCTCCAGGCTCTGCTTCATGCGCTTTACCAGCTTCTTCTGCGGAAGGTCCTTGGGCAGGTTCAACTTGCGCAGGAACTTCTTCAGGGGCCTCAGGTATTCTTTACACTGAGGAGGTCACAGGCAAGGTGGGGGCTGAGGGTGGGGAGGAAAGGCAGGTGGACACCCCAAGTGTCTGGCAAATTGGCCTGAGTGAGGTCCTTAGTGGCTCACAGAGGGCTGTGTGGTGACAGGCTCCAAAGAGTTTCCCACCCCACTTCCATCCTGAGTGTGACAGATGAGGTGGTAGGCTCGGAGTTAGAAGCCTCCTGAGGCCTCCCAGGCTAGAGGGACGGGGTTTCAGGATGGCCTCTTACAATTTTGAAGGTGTCCTGGCTCAGGCCCTTGGCATGACAGACCAGAGCATCTCTGGCAGGTACGGTGCTGGAGCTCCCCACCTGGAAGGAGGTGGCACAGTCAGCAAGGGGCTCAGGTCTGAGGATCAGTGCTGGGCAGATGTTGGCAAATGACAGCCAAGCTCCTCTCCATTCTCCCTGTGATCTTTCTTAAAACATCACTAGGTCAGTGAGGCTGGGCAAAGAAGCCCATCTCTAAAAACCCCTGTTTAGAAAACCTAGAACATTTTACCTATTTCTTTTATAATTCTTGGCTATCCTGGGAAACTTTGCAAAGCTCCTAATAAATATTAACTCATTTTCTTTTTCCACGAATTCTGTGAGGGTACCTATCATTACCTCTGGTTATAATCGAGAACACTGGGGCATTGAAAGAATTCTGTGACTCTTTGTCGGGCAGCAATCACTTTTTCTTTCATTTATTCATGGGCCTGGTGCTTACTGAGGTCCCAGGCCCATGTCTATGCATGTCTAAATTTTAGCATTATGTCATGCAACTAACTGAAGGGTACCCAGTAAAGAAGGGTGGTGATGATAACAGGACTCTTGTGACACAGAAGTGGAGCAAAGAAAACTGGAAATCAGTGGTGACGAGGCAGCTGTAAAATACCCCTAAAACTTAGAGAGCACAGGATGAGTCTGTGTCACTGGGTTTGTACCTCACATATTCTTGTCTTTCTTTGCTTTTTGGGTTTTTAAAATTTTTATTATTTTTGGTTTTTTTGAAATAGACTTTCTCAGTGCAGCCCTGGCTGACCTAGAAATTGCTCTGTAGACCACGCTGGCCCCAAACTCGCAGAGATCCGATGGACCCTGCCTCCTGAGTGCTGGGATTGAAGGTGCCAGCAGGGTCGGGTTTGCACCTCACATCGTCAAAGCCCCTGTGGACAACTGGATTACTTGCCATTTGTGTTCAGGAGAGGAAGATCTGCATTCAGATCACTCTGAGGGGACGCTGGGGAAAGGTAAAGAAGGGACAACTACAGACAGTGGGGACTCTGGCTAACTCCGTAAACACAGCCACATAACTGTCCACAGACCGTAACACATTTGTACACTCACATAGGCATGGGTTAGCAATAAAACGGAACTTCTCACCATCTTGCCAGAGACTCATCTTTGATAAACATGTTTACTACTTATCCCCAACTTTTTGGTTCTTGGGAATCAAACCCAGGACTAGGGCAAGCTCTCTGCTACTGAGCTACCCTCTAGCCCAACTGATGGAGGAATTACGTCCTCCTGTTCTTTGGGCTCTTGCCAGCTCATACATCCCACCACTTTCTCTTCTGGTCTCCTTCCTTGAATTTCACGTTCACGGTTCTCTAAATCCAGCCCCTCCCTGGCTCCCTTACTTCCAAGCCTCACTTCACCTTCTCTAGTGGCTTGTCTCCTTCACCCCCTTGCCCATCTATGGCTTCCATCTCAACAGCTGGGCTGGCAGGCTCCAGGCTAGCACTCCTCAGGTCCTCCACAGGCTTCTAACCTACTGCTTCTGTGACCTGGGTGCCTCCAGGTAGTGGGCAGGTTGGCTCCAGAACTCGGAGCAAAACCATGGCAACTGCCAACACAGAGCTCAGGCCCCCCACTCTCCTGTCCGCTCATGCTTCAGGGTGGCTGCCGTCCATCCCCTTCAGCTGGAAACTGGACTGGGTAATTGAGTAAGTGAGCCAGGTATGGTGGGTACCCAGCCCCGCTCCACATATCTCCCCCCCCCCCCCCCACCGTCAGCGCTCACAGCCGATCGGGGCTGGACACCTCCGACCAGACGCTGTTGATTTTAAACCCTGGTAAAATGTTTGAGGTACATTTGAAGTGGATGGAAACCACTCGTGCCTCCGCAAGTCACACCGGAAACTTTTGATTGTGTGCGTGTGTGTGTGTGTGTGTGTGTGTGTGTGTGTGCGCGCGCGCGTGTGTGTGTTGGTGGGCAGTGGAGTTGTAATAGACCTTTCCAGAATAAAGGACTAAGAGGTTGCTGAGAGAGAGAATGGAGTATAATAAATCTCTCCTGCTAGCCCCCGTAGCCACTAAGTTAATACACTGATTATGCTGAGGGATGGTTGGCTTGCTTTAAGGGTATTTACAGAAGTACCAGCCAGCGTGTATTCCATTAATTCTCACCAAAACCTTCCTGGGGGTAGGTGTCAAGGAGCGGCCCTGTTTCATAATGAGTCTGGGTAGCTGAGGTCCTATCACTTGCCTTAGGTCAGTGGCCACTGAAACAGGTGCAAGGCTTACGGTCGGATTACGAGACAAGACGAGAGCTCTGGCTTCTCCCTCCTCCTGTCTGCCCGGGGGTCCCGGACGGCTAGAGCAAACACTGTCAGCAGCGTCTGGAGCCGCAAGGGTGGGCCTAAGGGGGTGGGCGCGCACAAGTTCCGGGCTCAGACAGGACAGCTTCGTCCCTACCAGGGCACCAGCGCCCCCTCGTGTCTTTCGGCTGCTAGCGTAGCGAGTTGCCCGGTGCAAAGACCGTTGTAGCTGCAGTTTACTCAAGTCCTACCTTCCCTGGAACGCTAGATTCCAGCGCCAAGACCTCTTGAATGTCTTCAGGGACTGACGATAAATTCCCCTCCCCGCGCCCCAGTTTGATCATGTTCTCTCTCTTCTTTAGTGGTCACTGGGTTGGACTGCTGTCGGCCAATAGGGCCTTCCCTCTGTCCAGCTGGCCGCACAGGACAGGACATGGTAGCTCTTGACAGCTTCAAGGCTGGAGGCCGGAGGCCTGGGGTTTTGGTGAGTTCTTTTTCTGTCCAGAAATTCTTAAACTGTTCTCTGTACTATTATGTTTAGCAAATTGTTGGGAGGGACGGGGACAATCAAGGTCCCTACTTCTCTGCCTTCACTTTGAAAGACCTGTTCTCTGAGGATTATTTTGCAGCTAAGGACAATTACATTGGTAATCGGAAGGCCAAAAAAAAAAAAAAAAAAAAAAAAAAAAAAGGCCTCCTAGGAGTTGGAGAGATGGCTCAGTGGTTAAGAGCATTAGCTTCTCTTCAAGAAAACCTAGGTTCAATTCCCAGCACCCACATGGTAGCTCATAACTGTCTGTAACTCCAGTTCCAGGGTACCTGACAGCCTCACACCAAAGCACATAAAATAAAATTAAATAAATTGTTAAAACAAAAGGGGTCCCAGACACCTTAAATAGAGTAATAATCGGTAAACAATATGTTTGAAAATGTAGAATATGTGTTACCTCTGTCCATCTTAGGGACAACCCTAAGGAGAAAAAGATTTGACAAGAGTGACATTCTAGAAACCATCCTGAAAATGTCATCAGTCGGATAAATAAAACGTTATGTCACATGTTGCCGCACGTGTTCAAGCGCTATTCTATCAGCATGTGTGGCACGATCCCATTTGTAGATATACACTGAGAAAGGTGCTGGGGTACCTTCAAAATATTCAAATTCATTCTGCTTATTTGTTTTGTACTCATAAAGCTAGGCAGGGTGGGAATCTTGTAATAGTTTAGAAAGGCTGAAGCAGTAGGGCTGTTGTAAGTTCAAGGTCAATTTGGGCTACATAGCAAAATTCTGTCTCAATACAACCCAAAATTTAAAAATACATTGTTATGAAGAGATGGGGGTGGGGACTGGAAGGAGAAGATTAAATGGGAAGGGGGGTGGAGGAGAGGGTTAATGGAGGCACTGTGAGAAGGGACAGTTAGCAGTAGGGCCATATGGAAACCTGCGACTGTAAAGCAGCATACATCTATGGAAGGGATACAAATGGAGTCATCAAAGAGTGGGGAGACAGTGCCCTAAGTAGACATCTGAAAAAACAGAAAAGCTCTCCATGACAACTAAATAGCATTATTAAAAGATTTAAAACAAAACACAGGACTCAGGAGGTCGCCCAGCTGGTCGAGTGCTTGCCATGCACAAAGTCCTGGGTTTCATGCCCAGCACCACAGAAACCAGCCTCACATGCCTGTAATCTCAGCACTCTGGAGGAGGACTGTTACTAGTCCAGCCTGGCCTCTTGTCTGTACAGGCTGAGTGCTAGACACCCAGGCTATACTGATACTCTGTCTCAAAAACAAAACACAACCCACAAGTAGGCACATACATTACAATCCAGAACTGATATGGGATATGAACCAAACAGTAAAAAAGAATTTTTTTAGTAAGCATGTACATGTATATATTACTCTCTCTTACACACACACACACACACACACACACACACACACACACACACACACAGAGTCTACATTTCAAAAGAGAGAAACAAAAGTTTTAGAACCAAAAGGCTTAGAAAGGTTTAGCCATTCTGGTCTCTCCTACACTTCCCCGTCCCTCCAAACGCCTCCAGCAAGTCCTAAGCTCTGGATGGCTACCCTGTTTACATAATGGCTTTATTATCAAACAAGGGGAGTAGCCTGAAAAGACAATTGAAATGGCTCAAATACAACATTAACTAAAACCAAACGCAACTCCATTGCTTCAAAATTCAATTGGTCAGAATAAAATTACTCTGTAGGGCAAGTCAAGTCATTCAATAGTGTTATTCCTTGCAGCATATATTTATAAAAGCTATGTATCATGAGATGGTGAGTTGGCTTAGCGGATAAGGGCTTTGCCTCTGAGTCTGATAGCCCAAGTTGGATCACTAGGACCCACATGGTACAAGTGTTAGTATTTTGGAACACAACCTGCTTCTGGGTTGCCCAGCAACCTATGATGTCATCATATGTCGCCAGCCAGGTGGTCACACCTGGAAGGCGTGGTTACCGTGCCCCCTTAAAAGAGCCGATTCCGACACGTGGTCACTCTCTTACTTTCTCTCTCTTACTTCCCCCCCCTCTCTTTCTCTCTCTCTTTCTGGGGCTTCCCCCCTTTCCCTTTCCCCCTTTCTTCCCCCACCATGTCCCGATACCCACATCCTCCATATCCCTCCTAATAAACCTCTCAAAGAGAATATCGGTTGTCCCCCTGCTTCTATTTTTAATTTATAACAACAAGGAAAGAATCAACACTCAAAATTGTCTTCTGGCCTGATGATGGTGGCGCATGAACTTAGTTCCAGCACCTGGGAGGCAAAGGCAGGTAATTTGAGTTTGAGGCTGGCATGGTCTACAAATCAAGTTCCAGAACATCCAGGGCTACACAGAAAAACCCTGTCTCAAAAAACAAAACAAATACTGTTCTGTGACCTACACATACCTGATCGTGCTTGCATGCAGGCATGAGTGCATACACAAACGCATGCACTCACACATAAACACACACACACACACACACACACACACACACACACACACTTACACACACACCTTCCCCCCAAATACACATGTTTTTTTAAAAAGCTGCTCACTGCTCACCTTGTGAGGTGTGAGAGGTGAGGCCTGTGAGTGTGTCCACACTCTATTTTTTGCAGGTTGGCATTCTCTCCTGCACAGACTGGTCTCATAGTAACCATGGGTTACTCCCTACCATAGGTCCACAAGATGGAGCTTCCAATTTCCTTGTTATATATGCTGAATTAAGTAAGCATGGAAAACGGGTCTCAGTATCTCCTTGAACATTGCCTCACAGATCTCCTCTCTCTCTCAGAGTGGCACAAAAACTTTTTATTTTCCTAAAAAAACTTGCCTCTATCTCTTTCCTTGATGAGAAACTCAAGGGCATCCTTAGAATTGCTAAAGAAGATATTTGGATCTTAAGGCAAATTATTCAGTTGTGTAACTAAAATTATACCAAGACCCCCTAGAAGAGTAAGGACATTCAAATTCTTAACACAGTTCTATTACTGTGTCAGCAAACAGTGCTTTCGGCTCCCAGTTGAGGGCCAAGGTCATCAGAGTCTGAATCATTACTTAAGATTGGGCTTGAGGGAATCAAGAAAGCTCTGAAACTGCAACAAACTGTATGTAAGAACTCATTAAAGACTTTAGGAACCAGGCTCTAACAGGCATAATCTATGCGTGTGCACTTTTCAACAGTGGTTTTGGGGGTTAGGAAGGTCTTCAAGTCTAAATCATGGAAGGCCTCAAACAGAGGCACCAAGAAACGCCCCACACAGGGCTAGTGTTGAAAAGACAGGTGCAGGAGAAAGCAGAAAGATAAGCAGTCTGGATAGCCATGTTTCAGACCCAAATCAAGTACCTGGGGATTAAAGTAAATCCAGAGCTCTCATGACCACAGTGAAGTTCAAGTGCTACAGGCTTTCTTCCCCTGAACTGTAGACAGGGATCAGCTCTGCCTGGGCCAATCCAAGGCATGCAGGCCTGTCAGGACAGGCTACATGGCTAAGGCCTCAGTTCCCTGGCTGTAGATGCTTCCAAGCACACAGGCAGTAAACAATTTTTTATCTCTGCTATTGCAACTCCCCATACGGTTCTCAAAATGTATTTGTGGTTATTTTCCTGCTCTTCACTGACTATCTGCTGTAGTTTTCCATTTAGTGAAGCTTT